TCAAAATTTGGGCATGGTAAGATATATTTCTGCAAGGAACCAAAATACATAAAATGAGAAAGAAATCCTTTTCCAGCAGTTAAAATTCTCTTGGTCCTATTTTATGGTATTGCATTCCATTCACAAATAATGACAACGATTATAGCACATTAGAGGACCGTACGAAAACATGTTACACCAGTTGATATACGTTATTATTATTGCCACTTTATAACAACATCGCACGCATTTGGATTGTGTAATACACCGGTAGGTATAAAAGTATACCTACAGTTCATTCATTACGTGAAAAGCAAGACTAAAAGTATCATTTGAAATTGAGTACGTCTCTTTATCAATCGCAATCACCGAAAACCATTAGGAATTATATATTTACTACACACTTATATTTATAGATTTATCTAAAAGTTCTAGGGGCTCGCCTGATATTTCCTTTTTAGTTTTCTTTGGAAAGTAATGTCATAATTATAATAATCTCTTCAACGTCTATTCTCTTCGTCAAAAGGAATTCTCATGGTACTTATATAACTTTAGAATCATCAAGTTTGGTCTGCAACTTTATTAGACGCGTGACGATTGCTAAACAATGTGTATTGTTGCTTAAAATATTGCCTTCAAATGCAGCAAGCCGTAAAGACTATACAGGAGAAATATTGTTTGCTATTGCTTCTGTTTGCAGAAATTCGAAATTTTCTAATTGTTCAGAATCGCTCATCTAAGTACTGCGTCAATCGATTTGAAATCGAGTCCGAAGGCCAGAAATAATTAATTCAGCTATTTTTAGTTGAATGATCTGGTTGCCTTTAACTGTGTAGAAATGTTTTAACTGTGTTATAGAAAATCATATACAGATACTCTGTCTTTGTACGAATAAATTTTAGATTTTATTTGAGTTACATAAATGTGCCCCTTTTTGTCTTCGAGGTACAGAAATTTAAAAAAAATCATCAAAAATAAACAAATTTTTAACCCAGAATAATTTTATTATCTATATTAATTTATGTTTTGTATCAAATTTGTTATTATAATTAATTATTATAATTTGTTAGAGTAATTATAAAAATATAATTATTCTGATTGTTTCAGATAAGTTTTTTTAGGTTCCAGAAAGGATAAATTGTATTTTGAACTTAAGTCCATCAATTATAATTAAACACAATTGCAAATGTTCATGTTTTATTCAGGAAGTTATAATCACTAATGTACATTGGAAAATTTAAAATAAAAATCTCAAGAACTGAAAGGCTAATATCCAAAATATTCTAGCTCACAATTACAAGTTATTTAATAATTTGCAGTTCATACGTTTTGTATTAGCTATTTTAGTGACATCATTTGGAATATATGCAGAGATTTTAATCAACAAATGCTATTATTTCCAGAACTATTCGCTATTTGAGAAAATGTTTCACACCAAATAGCTATACGCGTGAAGGACATACAAGTTATTATTTTCTTAAATGAAATTACATAATTTTTTATACATTGACATTCTCTATAAAAAGAAGTGATAACTTAAACGTTTGTCGAAAAACTATTTATTTAGGAGATATTTTAACTGTAGTTTTGTGAACGTTAGATTTTAATTAAAAACTATAGTTAAAATAAATTCTCTTAAACTGTTAATTTTTCAACTTACGTAAGTATCTTTTCATGTAGGATATCAAGCTGCATCCATTGTTTCGATGCATCAAAA